CCCCCCCCCCCCCGGGCCGCCGGTGAGGGGCTGCGGGAAGGCGCACCCTGAGGTGGGAGAGCCCCCAGCCCCGTGGGTGGGGGTCTGCTGGAGTTCCCCAGGACCCTCGGTGAGGGGCTTCACCGTGGCGGGCCAGCCCACGGGGCCGTTGGGGCCGCGCTGAGGGGGCCGCGCTGAGGGGGCTGCCCTGCCGGGCTCGGGCTGACAGCGGTGCCCCTGGCCTGGCTGTGGGAGCTGGGGCTGTGAGGCAGCGGGGGGTGCTCTGAGCCTCTGGAGGGATTCCCAAACCCGAGGAGCAGACGGAGCCAGGTCCCCTGGGTGTGTGGGAGCCGTGAGGGGATGGGGGGAGGCAGCCACAGGCCTGCGGCCCGGGAGGTCGTGGTTGATTTAAACACGGAGTAAAAGAGAGCCCCGGGCTGAACCTGGTGCTCGGAGCTGAGAGCAGCCTGGCACAGCGAGTCCTGCCCGAGGGCTGCAGCCGGGGTGAAGTTTACAGAGCCAGATAATTTTCACATTACATTTCTCTCTGTCCTCCCCCTGTGCCTCGTGATTCGTCACTGCCAAAGCCCTCTGCTTTCAGGGGTGTTTTGACAGCCGAGCCCTGAATAGCGCTCACAGCCACCACTGCTGTGTCCTGCAGAGGTATCTGGGAGAGGAATGGAGCAGTTTCATGTTTCTTGCCTCATTCTTTCTCCTGCAGAGCCATGGAGGTCCCTGCAGAGCTGGCTGGTGGGAGTGTGTCCTTGGCTGCAGCTCCTCCCAGCATGTCACAGCCAGCAGCAGTACAGATCACTGTCCTGAAGGCGCGGGACCTGGTAAAGTTCTCCTGAAAATGTCTCTACTGATTTAATAAACGAGGCCAGAGCAATTCTGTGCCCTGGGATCCTGTTTGAGGCCAGGTGGGGGGTGATAAGGCTGCAGGAAGGAGCGGTGGGAGTGTCAGAGATTCAGGAATACCACACTGTGGCTTCCTCTCCCTGCTGAGGGTTTGTTCACACAGAGTAAAAGCTTGTGAGTCACATAAACTGGGGAATGCACCTCCTCAGCAGCAGTCCAGAAATGCTGTGATGAAATGTAACTCTCTGCCTCCTCTAACTGTATGTAAATGGCAGCTTTTTTTTAAGCAAAACACAGTGAAAATGTGTATCAGTGAGACAAATGCCTCTGAAAAGATCTCAACTTGGTTATAAAGTCAGATTTTCATCTCAGCTCCAGCTGTTTAAACCATATTGAAAGCACTAGGGTGGCTCTGGGCTTAAAAAGGCTGTGGCTCCAGTGCCAGACTATGAGCTGGTGCCAATCAAACCATCACTGCTGTGATTTCCATGCGATGCACCCAGCTGTCCTTAGAGCCTCCTAGAGAAACTGGTATTTGGGAGGGAATGCAGAGGAGAAGCTCAAGCAGAAAAATGCAAATCCTTGCTTCTGCTCCTGCAGAAGAGAGCAAAAAAACAACCTGCTTGAGGCTTTTACACTGTAGTGCTGGAGTACCTCTCACACTGATAGATTCAGCAAACAGGTGAGAAGTATGAGGTGAGAGGAGGAAAAACAGTGCTGGAAAGAATAAGCCCATGTACTGATTGCATTCAGAATGTTGCTTTGTGGTTCTGATTTCTCCGTCCTGAGAAAGGGCTGTGGCAAAAGGAGGGGGGTTACAAAAGGGCAGTCACAACAACAACAATATGAAAAGAATTCCAGCTGTAAGAATGTGGAATCCACTTCCAGCTATAAGTGTGGAATCTGGTTAATTAGAGGTAATGTAGAGAGAGATGAGAGAGGAGTCTTGGATAATTAATGGTACAGAGGAAGGTTAATTGGATTCTGTTTAGCCATTCATAGAATGCATGCTCAAGGAGTCTGTGAGAGGGGCTGAAAATTAAAACCAAGTGAAAGAGATCTCTTTTTTTGTGTAAGAGCCAACATGAAACTAATTACCCCAGTGACAGGGAGAGAGGGAGCTGAGGATGAGGCTATGGAGGTTGGGCATCCCTGTGGCTCAGCACTGAGGAAAAGTTGTTTGGGCACAATGGTCCTTGTATTCAGCCACTCCTCTGTGGATTGAGAACTAAACTGTGTTTCTCCTGCTCTTTGGTACCTGGTGCCCAGCAATTCCTCTTGCTGTGCCTGGTGCTGCCCAGGCATGCAGGTGCCCCCTGCCACAGGTTGTGGCCCCACCATCCCTCCTCTTGAAGCCCCTCTGTTTAGACATTTTAAATTCCAACTAGAATTTGAATCTGCTCATCCCTGCTTAAAGCAAGAGGCACGAAGGTGATGTAACAACAAATTGCAGAGGTCCCCAAAGAGCTTGCTGGAGGCCCTCTTTGATTTCACAGAATCATGGAATCATTAGGGCTGGAAAAGGCCTCTAAGACCGTAGAGTCCAGCCACTGCCAAAGCCACCACTAAAACAAGTGCCACGTCCACGTGTATTCTGAACACTTCCAGGGATGGTGACTCCTCCACTGCCCTGGGCAGCTTCTTCCAGTGCCTGAGCAGCCTTACAGTGAAGAAATTCTCCCTAATATTCAATCTAAACCTCCCTTGGCACAACTGGAGGCCGTTTCCTCTCATCCATTTCAGGGCATTCCGCAGCCACATGATATCCACAAGCGTCCTGTGAGCTCATCCCTGTAGCTCAGGAGCTACTTTCTTAGAGACAACAAACATCTCAAGCTTTCTGGAAGCACAAAAAAATGTCAATGGGGTATTTTGGGATTTGTTTTAGATGTGTCTTTCCTGGCGTGAAGCCTGGGCCTCTCCATCTCCTGTGCCAGGGCTCCTGATAATCTTTGGGGCATCACGGCATGGTGAAGCAGGAAACTTCCCTCCTAAAGGCAGGGAAGGGTGAGGTCCTAGCATGGCCAACATCTGCTGCTCTTGGTGGAACAGGCCCCCCACCAGTGATCCCTGTCCTGGGCACTGAACTGAGCTGCTGCCACAGGAGCTGGGATCCCAGGCTGCTGCTGCAGAGGCAGGTGTTAATCTGCTCTCATTTTTTTGACAGAAAACTCTCAAAAGCGACGTGCTGGTTACACTGGTGCGTGTGGAGTACAACGGAGCAGTCCTGGGAGACTCCCCCAAGGCTGATGTCCTGCCAGACGGGACAGCAATCTACAATTTCACCACGAGCTTTGAGTGCAGCCCCGATGGGCCCAACGCCTTGGATGTCATTGCACAGAAACCGCTGCTCTGTAAGTACCTGGCGCTGGATCTGCCTCCTTGGAGAGGGTTTCTGTCGGCTGCAGGAGTGCCTTGTTCAGGAACAGCACTCAAGCAGCAGCAGTGGGAGGATCTCAGCACTTGTGTTCCATCTCTGCCAGCTGGAAGAATCCTCTTCCATGTCTGCCTGCGCTCCTTTGGCTTCTCTGTGCACACGTTGGCTTTAGGAGATGACAAGGAGCGTGTGCCAGAGCTGACACAGACCCTTCCCAACCCCTGACCTGCTGGTCTGAGGAACTCTGCCAGCTCCTCTCCTTTTATCTCCCTAGTGACAGTGGTAGAAGTGGGGCAAAAAGAGAAGAAAAAACAGGAGAAGACCGTGCCTCTTGGCCAAGCTGTGGTGGACCTTCTACCTCTGCTGCAAGGTACAACAATGACTCCCACAGCCTCCATAACCAGTTCCTGCTCCCTGGCACTTTTTTATCTTTGCTCATGGAACCCTGACTATAACTTCCCTCCTTCTGACAAAGTGACCTTCATAGCTCTGCAAAATCTGGCTGGGGGGGAGAGGGGGTGGCATCAGTAGCTCAGCATTAGGAGTTAGACCATGATTTTCTCTAGTGGAAGGCATCTCTGCCCACGGCAGGGGCTTGGAATGAGATGATCTTTAAGGTCCCTTCCAACCCAAACCATTCCATGACTATGATCCTCTGCCCAAAGTCTCACTTTAGGCTGTTCACACTCCTGTTTCTCCCCAGGAGAGTGTTCACTGAAGGTCTCAGCTCCTCTGTATGCAGTGCCTGCCTCCCCATCAGAGAGCCTTCGCCTGGAGGCCATGGTATGTGGAATTTGGAACTGCTCCTTCCCTCATTCAGCTCTCTGCTGCTTTTTAATGAGAGGGAGAGCATGACTCAGCCACCTGGCTCATCAGGGATGTGGTGCAGCCCTATATGTTACAGGCTAGGAGGCCTTTCCCGCTCCCATTGACGTCTGTCCCCAGTTGCCTGTGATAGGTGAAGTCACGCTGGGAAATGTTAATGTGTGCAGCTACTGATTCGCTCTGGAAAAAAAAAAAAACAGAGATGGAAATCAGAGTGGTGAAAAACCTGAAAAATACAACAGCTGGGTCACCTCCTCAGCTTTATTAGTCTTCACTTCTGCAGATAAAATGCCTGAGTCCATTATTGTACAAG